ATGGAAGAAAATACTATTTTAAACAGTAATATTCGCTATGTAAATGTTTAAAATGTTTAAGTATAATAATTAAGAATTTAGACTTTGATATTTATCATTTCGTACCCTAAAAATGATCTTATCATATGTAAAAAGTATAAAATAAAGTTAGTAAATTTCTAATACAAGCAACGTCAATATTCACAAAGTAAAATGGTAAATTTTAAACGCAACGCTAAAAATCAAACTGTAATTATTGACTTGCTTGGACTGGTAGAATGTATATTTTAAAAGTATAATTTTTACTGTTTCAAATGTTAAAATCTTCCAGAGTGAGACCCCCTTCTACATTAAAATGAATTACATATTAAAATGGCAATTTTTACTGTTTGAAACTGTAATTTTTTAAGATGAAAGAGTCGTTATTTACTATAGTGACAGCTACTTATCACTTATTTTGGATATTTATTTATAAATTGTGGCTTTCATACTTTCTACATTAAATTCTGTAATATTTGAGGAGCCGATTTTCAAAAGGGTATCTTTTCATATTTTAAAATACCACTTTTCTGAACTTTTAAATACTAATTACTTCGAGAATTATAAACATTTATAAGTGAAAATCGAATTGCAGCTTCATAACCGATTACACTGATAAAAAATTTATGTTGACTCAAAAGATATTTTCTTGATCTAAGAATTTACTTTGGAAGACAAATGATTATCTTGCTCTAAGAATTTCTTGTCTTGATTTAGATTTTCTTGGCTTAAGAGCTATATTATCTTCAATCGATACATTTAAATTTTTCAGTCAAAATTACAGTATCGTTTAAAAAACTTAAAATAATTCATCAAAGTATAATTCAAAAACTAAATAGTCTTTAATTGTTATACCAAAAAAAAATTATTTCTTAGAAATAAGTAAATTAATTGATGACTCAAAAAAAAGCCATTCTTAACACAAGTCAAAAAAGTTTCTTGAATCAAGATTGTTTTTCTATCAGTGTAGCTAAATTAAAAAAAGTTCAATACAAATATTTATAATTGAAGATAACTAGTTTTTTGTCTCGATTAATCAAAAATCAAAAGATACCCTTTTGAAAATAAGCTCCTCATTTATATTTTTGCCACCCCGATGTCCGCTTTACTGTTTGAAACTATAAAAATTAACCGGAATCCGAGTGAATTTACTTTTTACAGTTTACTTTTTTCCGTGTAAGTTTGCTTCAAAATTTTCATAAATAATATTTTTCTCTAATATTTTTAACAGGTGATTCAGTTGACAATCTATAAACGAATTTAAGTATTTCTGTTGATTCGACTGGAAATAGGCATGAGGATACAGAGCCTACACCCAAAAATATTAATAACAGTATTGTAAAGCTTTTGAAGCTCAAAAATAGCAGAAAGTTTTGAGGGAGGCCCGCAGGGTCACTGTTTTAAAGTTTTCCCTTTTTCCTCACCCGGTTATATTTCTGTCTGGCGAAGGATTTATATATATATTTCTCACGTGTCTGCAGTAAAATATCGTACGTGACATGGGAATGATGTTACTATTCCGAGCAGTTTTTCTCGGCTGTACATCAGGGTGACAAAATATCACCAGTAGTAGTAGATGTCAGTGTAGGGTATACTAGTCGATGCCCATATCTCTGAACATGCCAGCCAGTACAGCCGAAACTCGAGATAGAGTTGAGTATATCATCAGAGTTGCCTGTTGTTGGTGAATACTCGAGAAAATGTCGACAACTATCACTTTCAATTATCCATTGTGACAGATATCTTTTTATATCTTTTTCCCCTCAATTTCACGGCGACCGGTGCTGAATAAATGACTTGCTGGTTGATGTCGACCGGTAAACTATAAAGGTACTCTTTACCAAAGGATACGTAGTATTGGTATGTAATAGATGGATACATAAGCAAAGAAAAGAAAAGAAAACGGGTACTGTTGTACGTGGTCCAGCACTCGCGCGGACCAACTCAGTGATGAGACTTTTGCTCGGTTACTCGATCAATACTACTACCGCGCGCGCCATTCAACCCTTGAGTATCTACAGTCTATAGACGTTAACCTTTATACGAGTATTAAGACTTCGATACCCAACTACAACACTCATCACATTGCTACACCACCACACGTTCTACCCCTTTTTTTTTTTTTTTTTTTTTTTTTTTTTTTTTTTTAAATTCGTTGCTACGAGGAATGATTACATTCAAATAAACTTTCTCTGGTAGAATGTGTTTTTTAAAATATTAGCGGGAATAAATTTTGTAAAAAAGTATCGGGAAATAAGTATGGAACTTAAAAATTTATACGGTGAAGTTTCTGAAGTTTATCTTTAATGCCGGTGTCAGGAAAAATAGATGTTGTTGTTGTTGTTTATACACTTCTACTTGTACGTAAACCAAGTGTGCTCTTTTTACCATGACTAAATCTTGGGTCTTACTAACTTAACGATCGCATGTATATCACACGTAAAACTTTGCTTTTATTTTATTATTATTCTTATAATAAACAAGCAAGACACAGGATTATCTGTTCAGAGTTGAGAAAAAATATTCAGATCTGATCATGTGTAAATATTAAAATCTTAAAATATATTTTATACAATCTGATCATATATGAACATAAAATATTTTATGACTTATAAAAAATGTCTTAAAGTTATATAACCATCTGCTATCAATAAATAAACTTTACTATCAGTTTTAACTTTTACAAAATTTCATATAAAGTAAATAAAAATTTCCAATTTATATAAGACCATAAATAAAAACGATTCTTTCTTTTTTTTTAGATGTATACATGGAAAAAAGTAAACTGTAATAAATAACAGTCGATTTATAATAAATAATAATCAACTGCTAAAAATTACCATTTCAAACAGTAAAATCGTGATTTTACTATTCACTTTATAATATTTACCATTTAAACATTACAATTTACTCTTTACATGGAAGAAAATACTATTTCAAACAGTAATATTCGCTATGTAAATGTCTAAAATGTTAAAGTATATTAATTAAGAATTCAGAATTTGATATTTATGATTTTGTACCTAAAAAAATTATCTTATGATATGTAAAAAGTATAAAATAAAGTTAGTAAATTTCTAATACAA